TAGGCTCAGTCTCCAGCCGTCGGGATTTCGTGCGCCCGCGATACTCTCTCCCCTGACGGCTGGGCGCATGAGGTTCGCTATTGTCAGTCTTGACCAATCAGCGAGTGGCCCCCGATATTTTGAGGGGCATATCATTAATAAATTAGCAGGCAGCAGTGTAACAAAATGGCGTACAATTCGTCGTTTGAGATTCTCTTTGAAAGTGCTTGTTTGAAGGCTCTGAAGTCGTTTAGCTTGGACGAATTTAGAGAAATACAGCAAAAGGCTCTTAAAGAGATTGTTCTTGGAAAAGATGTCCTTGTTATTCTTCCTATACTGGCTCGGGCAAATCTCTTATTTTTCAAACAGCGCCACTAGTGTATTTTGCTCGTTTTTCTGGCAGATAATACATCCATTTGGATTATTAAACCCTGCACATGTTTTACTTGGGGTAATTTCCATTCCTTTCTCTTTTTTAAAGCGCTAACTATTACATTATATCGCTACTTCGCGAAGTTTTCATTTCACATAATTTCCCGCCTTGTAGCAAAACCTTTACGGCTGTTGTCAGATATTTCACTTCCGTTCACTGAAAAATTCACTTCCGTTACGTCATAATATGCTAATTACACAAAAACGTCACGGACATGCGCGACACGTTTCGAACCCCATGCGCCCAGCCGTCAGGGGAGAGAGTATCGCGGGCGCACGAAATCCCGACGGCTGGAGACTGAGCCTAGGACCACTGGAAGTTGAGAATTAATAATTAACTATTGGGTTGGCTGTGTTATTACATGACCGGAAGCTCAAACGTATAGATGTAAGAATATATCGTTAGTGAATGGCAGATTCTACTTGTGCTTTTATGTGATAAAAAAACTATTCGTTTACAAATGTGGTATCTGTGATCTCATCGGAATGCATCAGTCTAGGCATCAGAAGTACGCGCATGTGCGGATCGCATGGAGCTTCGAGTACTATGCTTACGGAACTGAATTCTAGCGCTAGACAGTCTTGTTTGGGCAAAGATTTCAAATTAGAACAAGAAGAAACTTTGTTTATCAATAACAAAAAGACTACTTTGATTATTTTATAGGCATCTTTTTTAAAGTATTTATTTTCTTGGCCTGAGAGGTCAACAATTTGAATTAAAACGTATTAGATATGATATCACCATGCTTTTATTGTCCATGATATCACTTAGCGACTTCTAGTCTGGCTACCAGGTATTAATTACATGACCTTTTAGGTCAAAATTTAGATTTCTATCGTTTTGGAGTCGTTGCAGAGAGCAGTCAAAAAGAATAAACGGTAACGCATTCTTGCTTTCACTATGTATTAGAAGTAAAAAATATAATATTCTACGCCATAATATGCATTCAAAAATAGCTAGTCCGACTTCACGCTCCAAGAGCGTCTAGTTGTATTTKGTATCTCCAAAAACTTGTTCAAATTTCAAAGGCAACATCAGCTTAAAATCAGAATCTGCTGTCAAGGTATGTTCTTGGAAATACATAAATGTTTGTTATTGGTGCGATATTTATCCTGGAAAAGGCATTCTGAAAGAATTCTGACAAGCAAATGTTGACTACAGTTTTTGCGCCGCTCACACTTGACCGTTTGAGTTATACGTTTTAGCACAAATTCACGATTTGACCTTCCTGGGTAAAGTTCTACAGATGGGAACAACTGTACATAAAGGTTTTTAAGATGTTTTTTAGTCTTCAGAAAGTTCCTTCATGGGAAACGTCAGGGTGGTAACGAGGTATATAGGATCAGGGATCAACGTTATTTTTGGGATCAAATTTTCGTACGAATCAGAATTGTTCAAAGCCCGATTAGTGCTAATCCTGGGTTAACTCTAATCGTGCTTTGAACAACCCAGCACAGAGTTTYAGCTTGTTGGAATCGGGATAAATTTGTAAATTATACCTTATTAATACAAAGCTATTCATGGATTGACAAGGATCAGTCATCAATATTGTCCGGTATTTTTATTGGGATTGCGAACCACCTGTAACACCTCGTTACATCTACATCATTCAACATAGTTCCGCAGCACTTGACGACACAGGGACCGCGGAGCAGGGGGGCTGGGGGGCTACAGCCCCCCCAATAATATTTCCGACATTTTGAATTTTCTTAAATAAAGAAGCGAAGAGCCTCCTTATGAATTCTTTGGGATTTTTTTAATAATATTGCTGACCGTGTCTGCGGTAAATATGTCTTGGATAACGCCTCAAAACGCTGGAAATGGCATTTCCGAGAGTTAAGATTTCAGAAATTTCCGACTCCCCTAGTACCTCCTCGCCGCAAAAAATAGACTTAAAGTTTAAAAAAAAATTAAATTAAAGGA